CGACTGGACTCTACTAATCAGCAAATTTTAAAGAAAATCTGAGATATGAAGGGAAAAAAGTGTGCGACTTGACGCGGAATGGCCCATATATATACGTTCATATTTTACAAATTTTTTCTAAAATTTGATAGAAATATGTATTTATACATATTAGATTCTGAGAAGTACACTTAACATCGAACAGAAAAAAAGCAAAAAATACACAGATAAATTTATGCATAAATATTTATGTTTTTGTTTGTTATAGGATCTTCAACTTTTTCCCGCACACAGTAAAAATATATTTGGTTAGTGACAGCACTATATCGTGGCAATAGTGCTTCTAGAGGCCGTGTGCTGTCTCTAGAGTGACTTCCTGTTTGAAAAAAAACGCTTTGAAAAAATGCCAAGCAGACTAGTTTATTTGGTAGTTAAGGTGATCGATGATCCGGTGGTTAGGGTGGTCCTGTTGAAAGAGGCTACGTTGAATGACGTCATTGCGACTTCAGAGGAGAAGTTGGCAATATCCCTTTAGTGTTGCATCAACGTTAATTGAATTTTAGGTTACGTTTTATTTTGTTCTGTTTAATTTTTTTTTGAGTTTTTTGGTGTGAAAAAATAGGCTTTTCTGCTAGGGAGTTTCTTTTTGTTTTAAAATGAGGGTGCATTTTGTGATTTTGTTGGTATTTCTGAAAGGAAATTGGTTAAGGAATATGGTTTTGTCGTGTCAGGAAAGTTTCCGTCACGGACTAACTGGTGTCTTATCACCTGCCAGAAATATGGTTAATGTGGAGATATTGGTATTAGCGATAAGTAATTTATGTCAGGCGCATTAATAACTTTGGCGCCTGATTGTAGAGAACTCCAAAAACTCTTCTGCTTCAAGGATGGTAATTTGACTTTTTGTAGAGAGTTTTTTAACACCTGGCTATTTGTTGATGTAGACTTGGTGCTGGTTAAATTAGTGTTTTTCGAGGAACACTTTAACCGTTTTGTAGGTTTACATTTCTTTTTGTAGAGGATTGTCTAATGCATATTCAGAATAAGGGGTGTTGGAAAACTGGTGGATTTCTAGCGGTGGGTTCTATGTTAACTGATCCGTCAACCTTCATCTATTTAGGCTTCATATATTGCTGCTCATTTTCTTGTTGTTCTTTTATTTCTTTTTTCTTTTCAGTAAATCGCTTACAGAATCATAAAAGTACATTTGTGAAACAGTTTTCTCGTTGTTTTGTATAGTGTAGTATCAGAATTACATGGCGATAAGAGATTAATTTTAACCGAGGAGAAGGTGGCTATTTTCCTGCCAAATGTAAAACGTTATCTTATCATCATGGCAATGGTAGTTAATTGTTGGTCTACACCAGGATTTGCCTCGTATTTTGTTGTTTCAAACGACGTAGCTGGGTTTATTTTCATTTATAAATTCTTTCTGTTCACCTGTTATTGATCCATTTTTCTAATCTTCCTTTCAGAGAATTATTTTGAAGCTGTCTTATTACACTTTTTTATTTTTTTTCTCTGTTGTTAAAAACAGTTTTAATTGATGAAGGGAAGTTGAGAAGATCTTGCTATTGGTTGCTGTGAAGGATGACGGAGTAAGTAGTTTTCAGTATACAGTTGCAAGTAAACAGCTATGTAGATTAATTAATATCTATGTATAGCATGGCTTTAAAGTTTATTAGAGGTTTTATGAACTGGATTTTTATATTTTTGTTGCTTATGTCCTTATCTGTTTGCTACTGGTATCTTTTCAAAGTATTTTGGTGATGTATCTGAAATCATTTATCAGTTGTGTGCAAGTTTGTTTCATTTTTATGATGCTTGTGTTGGAATCATGTTTGTTGCCATCCAGGTTATCGGTCATGTGCTTCACAAATTGATTCTGTTGTTGTTGTTGTTTTTGTTGTTGTCTTTATTGCTTTTAACATTACCTGTTTCTGGCAACACGGTCCTGATAAGCGCTGTGCGTCGGCATTTAGCAATAACAATTAGAAAGAAATTGTTCCAACTTTTCACATTTTCTTCTAGCTTCAGAAAATACAATTTTCGAGCTTTTTTTTTTGAGTAGAATATTTTTTTTACTTGTTATTGGATTTTTAAGAAGACTTTAGTTGTTATCGCATGTTTTTTAATGAAAGGTGGTCAAGAAAATAGTTTATTTTAAAGAACGTGACTGAGTGTTCGTCTTATCTCATTCGTTATTTTCCCTTTTCTTTGCGCGAGTATTTTTTTAAATAAAATGTTAAGATTTAAAAGTTTTCCGGGGTAATTTTGTCGATAATTCTAATTGTTTTTTACTTGCTTGATTTCTGAACTTTTATTCGTCGCCAGTGAAGTGGTTTGTTATGAAATTCTAACTGCACATTTAGTTTCGTTTTGATTATTACCAATAACTTTTCCTGCTCTTTCTCTATTCTTCATCATCTTTTAAGTATGCATTAAGATTGTTTTGACAGTGACTAGGTGCAAGGAAGTTTCTGCCGTTTTTGATAGGTTATTGCGATAAACCAAATTATGTGGCTCCTTTTGTGTTCATGTTGAAATATCGCAAAATATCGTTTCTTTCAGCTAGTCATGGAATGCCTTGGGTGATTGCGCTACGATCAGTGTATGCAAAATTTAGAAGCGAGATTCATAATAGCTTTTTATCACCTGGATATTATCTAAGGTATCACAAGGAGTTGAAGATCGTGATCAGAGCAGCCTGCAAAATGGGGGCATTTTTGGACAAACCAAAAACTGAGAAGAGCAATGATACGGGCAAGACAAATGTACGTTTTATGCTCTGTGAAGAATTTTATTTTGAAGTTTGAGGGCGACTCAATTATTGTATTTTCATTTGATTCGGTAATTATTAATTCTTTATCTGAGAGAAGAGTTTTTTTAGTTCGATAGACTATTCTCTGGTCGCAGTTTTCAGTACTATATTTAATTTTTAAATAGTCGACTAAGGTTTTATAAATATTAAATTGATGTGTTTCACTCTGTAAGAGGAGGTTAAATTTTTTCCAATTTCAAGGCTACAGCTCTCTCTCCACTGCTTTGCCTGTATTTCATAATTTTTAGCGTGAGCTTCTGCGCAACTTTTTCTAGAATTTTGTATTGAAAAGTTTTTGGAAGTTTCGAGAGGTTTTTATCTGGAACAGTTTTTAGTCGTAGAATCTAAGTGATTTGATTTTTTCTAATTTTGCTCCCTTTCTATTTTTTTATGGAACTTATTTTTTGAAGGTTAGGTATTCCTCGATTTTAAGAGGGATTTAAGGTTTTGCTTAGATATTTTTTCTATTTTTAACATAGATACTTTACCAGTGAAATCTTAGAAACTACCAATATGGTTTGAATTCAGGATTCTCGATATGCAGTGGCATCTATGCAGGGTTGGCGCATTGAAATGGAGGACGCACACGTAGTGCAAATTTCAATGTCCAGCGAACCACCGTTCAAGGATTGGTCATTTTATGCAGTTTTCGATGGACATGCTGGAAGTAAAGCAGCGCATCATTCTGCAGAAAATTTATTGAAAACTTTGCTCGCCACAGATCAGTTTACGCAGGTATTGTTGTTATTCCTTACGTTTTATAGCCGAAGTAGTTGATATTACATTGTATTGTCAGGTCATTCTACATTTGCAGAAGCTCGGTATTTTTGTGAATATTTTCCGAGGAGTTTAGTTTGTTAATCGTTGGCTAAGATTACCTCCCCATTTGCTTGTTTCAATAATTTTTTTCTCGCGTCTCTCATTCATCTGTTTTCTTCATACCTTTTGGCTTGTCGATCTTGTTTTTATTCATTATAGTTTGAAAGGAAGGTTGAATTTAAAATACTGACAAATAAACAATTCTGCGAAACTTTGGTTTAGGAAAGACATTTTTTGTGGTTCTTCTGTTTCATTAAAGCGTTTGATTATGATTATCCTGAAAACTTCCGCGTCTATCGTTCTGAAGGGCTGAATGATAGTGTTAAGGGTTTGAGAGGTTTCTTTTATGGTACATTTATTGTACACTTAGTCGTTTTCTCAGTTTTTCGCAGAATGCCTTTCATCTGTTATGTATCGGTGTATATGCAACAAAACATGGGTGCTGAAGTAGTGGTCAGTGGTCCAGTTTATTAGTGTGATGGTATTTAGGTGGTTTCATTCAAATCATTCTAGTATGTTGCAGGTTGTAAAAAAATTGAATCAAGCTGGAGGAACATTGGATGATCAAACTATTGAGTTATTGAAGGAGGGAATCACGGATGGTTTTCTTAAGATGGATGCAGAAATGAAGAAAGGCAGTGAAGAAGATGAAGAAGCAGAAAGAAGTGGAACCACAGCGATCTGCGCCATCGTAACACCGACTCATATTGTTCTTGCAAATCTTGGTTAGTTTGGAAAAATCTTTATTTGCCTTCGATTTGCTTTTCGATTTATTTTTTTTTTCAATTTTCAGGCGACTCACGAGCTATATTGTCGATGAAGGACTCGGGACCATTTGGAACTGAGGATCATAAACCATACTTACAGAAGGAACGCGAAAGAATAGTGAACGCTGGTGGTTCTGTTATGATTCAACGTGTAAATGGTAGTTTAGCAGTCTCTCGAGCTTTTGGAGATTTTGAATATAAAGCAGTTCCGGGACTGAAACCAACGCAGCAACTTGTTAGTCCAGAGCCCGATATCTACGTGTTGAAAAGGAATCCTGTAAATAATTGAAATCTGTTATGATCAGTCCAACATTTCAATTTAATGCTCAACGCTTTGACATGAATTTCTCTTTAAGTGGTTGTTCACAAAATTTCTTCGGAAATCTGTACGAATTCATGTCGTTTTGCATTTTCTGACTTTAAAAAACACTTGAAATTGTACAACTTTTTTCGTAAAATCGGGGAATGGTCTTTCTATTAACGCATGCATGGTCCATTTTAATATACGAGTTATTCTGTAACTTACTTTTGTTTGGTCTATTTAAGAAGAATGGCTTATAGGAAAAGGATGAATTCTTGCTACTGGCATGTGACGGCGTATATGACGTTATGGGGAATGAAGTGCTTTGTGAATTTGTGCGGTCTCGCCTGCGCGTGAAGGATGATTTATCTGCCGTAGCCAATGAGGTATTTGAGTAGATTTATTCTTATTACTTTGAAGAAAATTTTGGAAATATTCTTTTTAAGCAAACTATAAAAGTACCGGTTATTCTAATCAGCTACTTCTTCCGAACGTCACTTTGATGTTAATGTTTTATCTTCTTTGCCATGTAAATGAAGAATTTTTAATTCGTATACAGTGAAATGTTTCAAAGTTATGGTACTTCCAATACAGGTGTTGGACACATGTTTATCGAAGGGTTCGCGTGATAACATGACTATCATCCTAGTTTGCTTTAAAGCAGCTCCAAAAGTTGATCAAAAGTTTGTCGAGGAAGAAGCGCGTTGGAGAGAGAAGGTAGCAGATTTTGTGAAATGTAAGTTATTGATTTTACATTGTTACAGCTGAGTTTTTTTTTTTTTTTTTTCTGAAGAATTACTTGCTTTGTGGTAATTTTTTATGTTTTAACTAGATTATTTGAAACTTTTGCGTGAGGAATGAGATACAGATTTTAAATTCTGTGCTCTTTTAGCATCATTTACTGCTTTTTATAGCTCGGAACTCTTGGACGGTATTTAAAAAGCAAAAAGAAGTTTTTAAGCTTTAGTCGTTTCTAACCCGAAATCACTTACTAAAGTCGTTTTAGTTGCTTCTTTTAGTTGATTTCCACCCTTACCGTGTCCAGTTAATTTTAACCCTAAGTAGACATCCTTTTTCCCATTTCGTTATGGACTCCCTTACTTCGTGTCTTCTTTGGGCAAAGGGGTTTTTTTAATGATAAAGAAACTTATTTAAAAATGCCCGCTTTCTCACGTTAATTTTTTAACTTAATAGATAAGTAGCATCTTTTCGGAAGAGTATAAATTTTTTTTGGTTGCCGGACCTTGCTAAGAAGTGTGTGATAGACAGATTTGTTCTAATTTAGTTTGGAGAATTTTTTTGGTTGTTGAACTAAACACTTTAAAATTATCTAAAGCACCGCGTCACAGTGATTCCTCCGCCTTCATACATTCTCCTTTTAGTCTCTCCCTCATTATTATAATCAACGCTTTCTTAGAGAGGCTTTAAGGACCTAACATGTTTTTATTTTTCGGAAAATTGATGCTTAAAAGATGCTAATGCTAACCATTTTATAGTGGCTTAGAAGAAAAAAGTTTGCCATCTCAGTCGATTAGTCCTGTTAACAGTTGTTTATTGATGGCTTACTGTTACTTATAAAAATCATTTTTGTTGAGAAGCTTTGTCTGATGTTTTAGAAACTTTTTCCAGTTTTGTTATTGGCTAATATCATAACTTTGTATAGGAAAAGAACTCGATCTTGTGAGCATGATTTCGATAAGCCGTTATTTGATCTGTTTTTATAGTATTTGAATTGGTTTTTCTTTGTTTATGTCTTTTATTGTAACAGTTATTAATAGTGTTTTGAAAATATTGTTCACTAACGTTTTTTAAGCCAACTTAAAACCGACGTCCAGAGAACCGAACGACGACTCTGAAATAGAGCGGATAATGAACATTTTGAATAGTCAGACATTTTTTCAAAATTTCCCACCAGGAGTTATGGTTCATTCAGCTCGTTCGATTGCTATGGAAGTTTTAAAAGACTTTAAAGCCGATTCTGATGTACCGAATCAGCTCCCTGTAGAGGAGGGTTCAACCTAATATTAATAAAATATTTACAGAACACAGTTTCGGGACTTACAATACGTACAACCCGTATTCTGTTCGATGAATTTATTTATTTATTTTCTGTTGTTTTCTGTTTTTTAATTGTAATCTACTTCATCTGATAGAAAAAGGTTTTAAGAACAATGTCTTGATAGTAGTAGTATTTCTTGCTCTTCAGTATACTGCTTTTCATTTGATTTTTCTGTGTATTTGAATTACACTGTTCTGTGACGTTAATGCAAATTTTTTTTCTCTTTTTCTTTATCTTTTTATCTTGTTAAAGTGGAATTAATCAACAGACTAGATTTTGCTGCTTTGGGATATTCACTACTCAGCAGTTTGCGGTAGTTTGCTTATTCGGTAGCACTTTTTCATTTTTAGGAAGCAGTTTTTCATGTTGTCTAAAATTTTTTTTTGAGGTTTTTTTGCTTTATCTAGTATCTTGGAATAAAAAGGGAAAGTGAGTTTTTTATAGGTTTTTTTGTGAACGGTATCGTTTAACGCTATCATTAACACAGTTTGCCTCTCCACATTCAGGGATTTCTGCAACCTTCTAATTACTTTTAAGTATCTCGTCAAAGTTTCATAGTTGAAATGAAAGTTGCTGATTTGGGGTTCATTATACATAAACTTACATTTTGGAACTGTTTGCAAATAGAATTTGAATTCACAGTTTATTGTTGTGCTGTATTTTGCGTTAGTTTTTCTCGTTCGATATGGAACTGCGGAAGTCGCATTTCGAACCTTCCAAAAATAAACATGTTTTCTTTGCTTATTCTCGCATGATGAAAAGGCGTTGGGGAGAATGAGTTCCTGCTTTCAGATACTCGTATTTAATTTTCAAGCACTGTTTCGGAAGTAGTCTACGAGTTAGGTGGGTGACTTCCTGCAAGGGATGTCATGAGGTGTTATGTGTGATGAATTGTTTCAAAAAATTTTTGTTTACGCATACAGCTGCCGGTCTAGTTGCATTAGTAAGATAATTTAGGGGTTTTCGGTCACTGGAACGAATTGGGGAAATTACATGAGTCCAGGGTCGATATCGCTATGTTTCCAGCTGGCAAGTGGATGGTTTAATAATAGCAGAAATTAGAGCAGCAGTGGTGAAAGTTTGCGTGATCCGGTATGTGGGAAAATTGGAGCAGGCTGTAGAATTCTTGCTAGTTTATTTTTTCCACTTACGGAAGAACTTCAGAACTTTAGCAGCGCCGTTGGTTCTTTATTAAGCAGGAGATATAGTGGTTGGTCAGCAAAAAAAGAAAGTTCAAAAGCAGTCGAATATTTGAAGGCCAGCTGTTACGTGCAGTAATTTGTGTGTGGTTGCACACGTCGATGGCCATTTCTGTTGGCAGCTGTAGTGACAATCTGTTGGGCACACTTTGGAAACGGAAAACTTCTTGGATGCTACTATAACGTTGAACATTTTGAGGGCTACACTCCGGGCGGTTGGGATTAGGGAAGCGTCATCCGCTAATTTCTGTCCTCTGGTAAATCTTTTGGCTGTTGAACAACATCACTAAATAACACGACGCAGTAAAATAAAGAACAAGCGATCTATTTCTTCCTTACGGTCTTATTTTTTTGACACAGTGCGACAGATCTGTCTTTTTATTTTTTTATTTTTATGGCTCTTAACAATCCCACTGTTTTTTTGTTCAATTATTTTCGCTATGATCTATCTGACCAGTCGGTTTTAGAAGCGTATATAATTAGTATGGTTAAGTAGTCGCCTTTTGTTAGCATACCTTCACGAACTTTTTGGATTTTCAATGGTAGTGAAGGAATTGAGAGCAAAAGTTAAAGAACTATAATGTTGCATTTTAATCAGGCTGACGAGTAGTGGTTATGTAATGACTTGGAAGGGGAATTAAATATTAACTGTAAAAAATACCAGGTTACTGCTTCAAGAACCAAACGGCAATTTAGAAAATAGTGATTCAAAATGTGATGTGCGGCAAATTAGAGTTAAGAAAATGGAAAATTGGTATTCTCGATGTGCAGAAATCTGTATTTGAAGGTTGAGAAATAGACGGAATTGTATTTGTAAGTTCTTTTAATAGCCTCAAATTGGTGAAAACTAAGGAAAGTGCAGCAAGCGCTGACAGTATATATCAGCGCACTATTTTTTCATATAAGGTTGTTGGGATGGAGCGTTTTGAATGCTTTTTTCACAGGCGCCTGACGTTCAAGGTTGTAATGTTGCTGCAGATAACAAGTTTAAAATTTATTTAAAGGATTATGACCATTGTTTGATAGTTGGGGATTCACTTCTAGACGACATATTATCTATCAGTAAATCAAAAGTTAGTAAATAGATGTGGTACATGTTATCGGGAAGGTGAGCGGAATAGAACCAAATGGGTCTGAAGAACATGTAATGCTGTGTTTTGAGCTGATTATGGCTTATTGTTTTTTGATTTTAAATAATCTACAGGTGTAGAAGCTGTCTGGTTCAATAATTAGGGTGAAGATTTTTTTTTGTATTTGACCGACGTTTTGGCATGATGAATTACTCGGTTGTGGAATAACACGACATCTATAGTCGCCGGATACAAAAAAAGCTTTTTATGAAAGTTTTGAAAATCCTTTCTAAAAAAACTGAAAGAAACATGGAATAAAAGTTCTAAAAAGTTGAGACTTCTTCTTTTTACTTTCATTTTTTTTTTTTTTTATAAAATAGATGTTTGTATGGTTTGCAGGGTTGAATAATTTCAAAAAAAGAGAAAATTCATATCATTTTCTGCTGATGTTACTGCTGCTGCAGCGAAAAAAAAATTCATGAACAAATGTTTGAATAGTTTTTAGGATTGGTTTAGAATCTGCAACTTCTTTGACAAAAAATACGCAGCATTATTGCATACAGTTTTTTGACAGAAATAAATGCCAATCGTCGACTGTTTTTCATTGTTTGATTTGCGATAAACGGAAAACAGTGCCTGATTTATGCAGGATTGATCTTGATACTTGAATATGGTTGCCGTTTTTATGAAACCAGTTTTTGTTAAGGAACTTACAGTTTACTTTACTATTCATTTTGATGACGTTTAACAAAGGTGCAATCCAAGAGGACAAAAAAAATTTAAGGTCACAGGAAAGTTTTAGTTTTTTTTTTTTGTAAAGAATTTTTTTTGCATTATCACTGTTTGTTTTCTTCTTTTTTTTCTTCTAAAACTTCAAATGACCTAATCATTTTGCGAAAAAAATTTTTTGATTGGAGTTCTTTTCTAAATGTTTACTCAGTTCTAGAAACTGATCAAATAATTCAAAAAAAAAGATCCACGAATAGGTTTATATCGTATGGTGGTCAACAAGGTAAAAAGGATAAGTAGAACCATGCTAGGTCGTTGTTAGTGGTTTTTTCTGTTGTGTAAAATTTGACACTGCTGGAACAAACCTGAAAATTTTGATGAATAAAAACGATAAAATTTTGCAGTTTTAGTTATGCTTGCTCAATGAAAGATTTTTTTTTCTGGAACATTGGTACTGCTGCTGTTATTTGCTTCTTTATGACCTTAAGGTTTTTAAACAGTATTAATACTATTGGAAGCAAATATGTTGCATTTTTAGTTTATGTTGGTTATTAAAGTTTTTTGGCCAAAAAAAAGCTTATTGAAATGGTTATCTGTTATGGAGCATTTATCCAAATATGCTTCTCAATGTATTATTTCTCTCACACACTAATTAGGGATGTTTGTCTGGGTAATGAATTTTAATGCTAGTTGACGGCAAAGATTTGCTGCAGTACCGAAGGCTCGAAAATGAGAGATCCACGACGAGGTACTTTTTTAGGGTTTTAAGAACAGCTTATTTGTTTTTATTGTTTCAAAATTTGGGCAGATATGGTCATACAATCTCTCGGTTATTAGCAGGTAAAATTTTAGACTGTAAAAAACGGTTATATTTAAGATCGCAAAGGGTAACTATTTGAGTAATGGTGTTGTATATTGATTGCTGTTTAGTGGTACATCTTCTATTTGTTGATTTCTGTCACTGAAACCTTTACTAGTTTACTTTTATACGCTGTAATAATGGTTCATAGCTTCTGATTTTGCAGTCGTCGTTATGGTTTTAATTTCGAAATCAGAAAAGATAATAAGTTTTTTTTTTAAA